TGTGTAGAGTCTGTATCTAGTATATCCGGGAGCAGCATGCTCCCCCTCATATTTTTTGCATCAGGAGTTCTTATTGTACTTTTCATTAATCTTTTTATGATTTGCAAGTTTAAGTTCCTGTGACTTTTTTTCTCTCTCCTTTAAAAAACATCTCTAATATTTAAATGATCATATCTCATGATCCGTAAAAAATTAGAGAACGTGTTATGCATAAAAATTATAGTACTCGTCGAGATCTATCCAACAAGATTCATATCGAATATTTTTTTCCAACTTAAAAATGACTAAATTTTGATGGGTAGAAACAAAGAAATTTGTACCTTCATTTGGATGGATATCAAGTTTAAAAATATGGATAACCAACTTAGTTTATATTGATAATATTGTAAAATTTATATCTCTTAATTCGTAAAGAATTAGAATACGAATTATAGATGAAATTTATAGTGTTCGATGAGATCTATCCAACAAGATCAATTTTGAATATTTTTTTTGAACTTTAAATGCATTGAAATTTTACGGGCAGAAATGAAGAAATGTGTTTTTTTTTTAATTCTAAAAAATGGTTATCCAACCGGTTTGGACTGATTATCCATTCTATTTGTACTTATTATCCAATCATATTTTTGACATTCCCTCCTCTTAAAAAAAAGAAAAAAATAATTGGATAAACATTAGAAACTATTTGGATAACCAGTGGAAATAATTGAATAACCAGTATAAACTGGTTGGAAAAAAAGTAAAAAAATTGGACAATCATTTTCATAAAAGAGCAAGAAAAAAAATTAGATAACCATCACCAAGAAATCGGATGGATAATCAGTATGAACACATGGGACGGATATTTTATCAAAAGAAAAAAAAAGAAAAGAAATTATGTTTGGATAATTAGTGAAAACGATTGGATAACCAATACAAAACTGTTGGATAGTTAGTACAAAAAATAGGACAAAGATTTTCGCAAAGAGTAGAGAAAAAAATGGTTGGATAATCTATACCGAACAGTTAGATAATCAATATGAACGCGTTGGACAATCATCTTTTATTCAATAAAATAATAAAAAGAAAAACTAGTTTGGATAAACAGTACTAATTAATTGGATAATCAGTATTAACACATTGGACAATGTTTTCTAAAAAAAAGATTGGATAACCAATACAAATGAAATAGATAATCAGATCAAACCGGTCGGATAATCAGTATAAACACAATGGATAACCATTTTAAGAAAAAACTAGGTTGGATAAGCAATACCATTTAGTTGGATAACACGTACAAACATATCGGACAAGTATTTTTTCATAAAAAAAAAACTGGAGAAACAATAGCACGGGGTTGGATAATCAGTATGAACACATTAATTGGAAAAGCAATTTCTCAAAAAGAAAAAAAAAAGATTGGACAAGTAATGTAAACTTATTTGGACAAGTAGTAAAAATAATTGGATAACGAACACATTGGATAACCGTGTTTCAAATGAAAAAAGAATGATTGGATAAACAGTATAAACAGAATGGATAACCAGTATTAGCGTATTGGACAATGATTTTTTCTAAAAAAAAAAAAAATAATTGGATAACATGTACAAACAATTTGGATAGGCATATAACCAGTACAAATGAGTTGGATAGGCACACAAACTAAACGGATATCCAGTAAAAATAAGTTGGATAAATATCCAGTACAAACAAGTTGGATATGCATACAAACTCATTGGATTACAACTACAAAACAAGTTGAATAGGCATACAAACTAAATTGATGGATATCTAGTACAAACAAGTTGGATAAATATCCAGTATAAACCAAATGAATATCCAGTACAAGCAAGTGGGATATTGATGTGCTTTAAATTTACCTATTTTTAATATCCTTTTATGCGAGATTTTGCTACTATTTTGAATACATTTCTGCTATTTATGTGATTTTATCTTTAATTGTAGGAATTGTACTCAATTGGAGGAATTGTTGAAATTATGGGCTAAAATGAAGATAAAAGTAACTCAAAGGGAGAATTGAAGATTTGATAAATTGACAAGGAAGAAATTGAAGTACTTGAAAAATTAGAGGATTAAACAAATAATTTTAGAATTTTTGTTTTTGGAAATTGGCCGAACTACGATGATGATGCGGTTGATTTGGGATTGAAATTGGGTAAGAATTTTAATCCCAATATTATTTGGGAAACAAGTTTTCTTCCTCTCCAAGAAGTAGGGTTTTGACGGAAGCCTATAAAAGGAGGATTGGGGATTCATTTTTAGAACCGAACTTGACCGAAAACTCACTGAAACCCTACGGTTGAAAACATCCCTCCGCCGCTGTAATTTCTTCCATCTCCACGCACCAGCCTTGAACTTCGGCAGCACCACCTCTGCCTCACCTTCGCAACAACCAAGCACCACCTCCACCTCTGACCACCGAAGCAGCTTCACCACCCTGCTTCTTTGTTCATCATCCACGCATCACCTTCACCGAAGCATCATCATCATCACCATCACCTTCGCGCTGCTTCCCACCAGCAACCCCCTTTGAACCCGAGACAAAAGACCCCTCCAACTTCACGCCACCCTGCTTCCCAATTCATCGTCAACGCATCCTCACCATCAGCCTCCTTGAGCTTCTTGCAGTAGAGAGAAACAGAAGGGTGTCCTCCGAACCGAAGCAAACAAGGGATTTAAAGCTTTTGTTTTCGGCCGAGACTTTCGGGTTTTATTATTTTTGTTTTATTTATTTAATTCAAATTTTTAGGATTATGTCTCTAAATATTATTGAATTATTTTTTATAATATTTAGTGGCTAAATTCTTTTAACATAGGGCTTGGGTGTAGCCACCGAATTTATTTGGTTTATTTGGTTCATTATTATTTGATTTTTCCATTGATCAATATTTAATATTCTTGCTTTTATTCCATGTTTGTAACTGGCCACTACTTGCATGTTTAAAGATATTAATTGATGGAACGACAGTTGAAAATTAATATTAGTTCATGAGAATATTAGACTTAGGTAGTGAACCACGACAGTAGGAACACAACCTTTGCAACGTTAGATTCTTAAGTTCTTAATGTGCTCTAGTTATTTCCTATAGTCACGACAGTAGTCATAGGATTAATTAGAGTAAGAGAATTATATCACGACAGTGAATAGTTCTTAATAGGTGAATCATTGTGAGATTAATGGAAGTTAAAAGTCAGATATTTATAAATTGAATCAAACCAAATATTTGATAGGTGAACCCAATGTCCTAAGTTTTCTTTGTCTGATTATTTGAATTAATATTAATTACTTTTATTTATTTATTTATTTATTTTAGTTTTAAATTTTATAAATCTGAGATCATTATTTATCTAGATAATAATAGGAGTAATTTATACCTGGTAATTAGTATTCCTTCTCTGTGGGATCGACCCTGCTTGCTACTTTACTACTAGTAATTGTATTAAGTAGGTAATTATTATTTGACTTGTGTGACGACGGCTTGTCAGATATCCATTATGAACAAGTTGGATATGCATACAAAACGAATGGATAAACAGTACAAACAAAATGGATAACCAGTTCAAACTGGTTGGATAATCAGTATAAACACAATGAATAACCAATTTAAAAGTTGGTTATCCATCTTGTAAAACTGGATATCCACTTTTATTCTGTCCATCAAAATTTAATCATTTTTTAGCCCAAAAAAATATTTGATTTGGATTTTGTTGCATAGATCTCGACGAATAAAATAAAATTCATGTGTAACACGTTTTCTAATTCTTCACGGATTGAGAGATATGCTCGTTTGAAGATTTTAAGATGTTTTTTGGAAGAGAGAGAAAAAAGTAAAAGGACTAAATTTATAAAATATATGAAGAGTTAAAAAAAAAGTACAATAAAGACTACATGTGCAAAAAATAGGACGGAAAGTACGTGCTCCCGGGTATATTGGATAAATTGGCCCTTGTGTGTTTGTTGCAGAAAAATCATTTCCTTTTTGGGTTTCTTGTTCTTGGCTTAGTGAACTGCGATGATGGTGGTGTGAACAAAACTGCAAAAAGGGCAGACATCTCCGGATTTCATCACTTGGGTTCTGAATTTGGAGTACTTATTTCAGATTGCTTGAGTTCCTTGCTAAAGTTGCTAAAGTTACTTATTTGGAGTACTCTAAAGAGTCTGACTGTATGGTTATTTCATTCTTTAACTTGGCTCTATCTGGGCTTCTTCTTCTTGTGGAACTCCTGCCTGCCTTTTTCTCCTGCTTCAGCTCAATTATATTGAAGTACATTAATTAAGGGGTTAAGTATTTTTTTTTTTTTTGTGGGGAGCTAGCTAGCTTGTGCCTTTTTGTTGTTGTGGTGTTGTGATGATGTGAATGAATATGTGAAGATCTTCTCCTTGTTAATTTCCAATCAATAAAGCTATATATATACTCTTTGATTTGGTTTTAGTCATTCTCATTCCATTGCGATACTTTGTGGTTTATTTATTGTAGCGATGAGTTTTTCTCATCCGCTTGGGGAATTTCGAATTGTGGGGGGTGTTTACAGAACAATATTCACAACTAAGCATCGTACTTGAATAATACTCTCATTGGTTCTTATTATAAGGTAAGCATTATGATTTTGTCTTACGTTTCACCTAAGATGTGTTGTTAATTGAAATAAAACCTTAAAAATATTTCATTATAATTATAAAAATACAACGAATGTAAAAATATATTTTTAAGATTTTTTTTTCAATTAAAAAGTTATCGTAAGTAAAATTTAGGACGAAATCAAAATGCGTTATTATGACCGGAGGGAGGGAGTATCTATGTTGAGAATTTAATTTTGAAGCAAAAATTACTTATTTGGTATTAATTATCCTTCAAATTCCAGTGACAGGCAAATTAGTCAATTCACAGGGGTATCTTGGCCGTTGAAACAGAATAAAAAACACTCGTCTAAAATAAAAACCAAAAAATTTGATCTTTCAAAAGTTCGAACTTGGTTCAGTTAGTTTTTTTTTTTTTTTTGAAAGCCCTGGTTCAGTGAGTTACTCAGACATACAAATTGGTTGGATTATCAAACTGCAGGGAATTCCTTGAGTTCCTTGCTAAATTTAAAGTTTCAAGTTATGAATGTAGGCCGAACGGACTGCGCCTGGATTCTCGGGCTCAAATTCCGCCGGAAGCTGGTGTAGGAAAGTTTGCTGTGATCCAGTGCCATCTTCTTCATCGGCTACATCTTCTTCGGATCCTGCTACGTTGTCCCTCTCTCAGGGGGTTCTTCATGTCCCAGATCCCACTTAGGTCGATTTAGTGTTTCTATTATATGAGAATAAAAAAAGAATGTTGTTGATAGAAAATTTGTTTTTACTACTAACAGTATCTTAAGAGTTTTAGGAACAAGATGTTGCATTTGTCTGTTTAAACGGGTACATCGTCTCGTCTCACTAATTCGACAAAGTAGACTTTTTTTTTTTTTTTTTTTTTTTCAGTTTCAAATCAGTAGAAGATGAACGCACTGACACATTAGCCTAACCTACCCCTACAATACCTGTTATGCATCTCAAGGCTCTTAAAACATTTCAGGTTTTGTACTCTGAAATTTATTGGTCCTTATATTTTTAACATGGTATATGGAAGTTCTATATTAAACCCACCCTATGTTTAAAATCAAAACTTTACATCTCTGTGGTTCTTATGTACAATATGCACTTTATGCACACCATCACAGGTAACTTGCAATGGTCAGTTCCCTGGATCTTTAAATGAAAAACTGGCTCTCATGGGAACTTTCGCTTCTAAGATTGATAGATTTGGCGAGTCTTCTTCAATGTAGCTAATGACACCAGCAATCAGGAGGAGGAATCTTTCTACACAGATGAACGTGGTTGCAGAGGCTCGGCTTCATGATGGACTACCTGATTTTGTTGGTTATCCAGTGGCATGTACTGCGACATAATTGCCATGATCTCCGAGTCCATATAAGACTGCATATTCCAAACACAAAGGATCAACAAAGATATTTTATCACGAAAGAAGCAGAATCTTGCCAAGCCAGATAGCAGAAGAAGTCTTACTCGAAGTCTATATTTGTAGAAGACATAACCAGCTACACCAGCGCCAAGTGCTATCGCTAAAACCACAAGTGTAAGGAACCATCCAAATTTTGATGTGTGCCTCTCTGTTGAATACAGAAAAAGATATATGGATTAATTGTTTGCTGCTTCATAAATATAGCAAAACCAGGCAAAGTCATATTAGCTGGTTAGTAAGCCAAACAAAATGCAATAAACTTCTCTAATGTGAACTGATGCAACACAATCATCTCATTTTCAATCAAAATCTTATTATTTTTTTAGAGCCAGTGTCAATGTCAACTACCGTCTCCTATTTTTGTGGGTTGAGATTGCTCACAGGGTTCTGACCAAATGTTTAATAATTGAAAAGCCAGCAGATCTCTTCAAATCCTAGACATACATTACAGGGACTAGTTGAGGCCTAGCACTAAAGAGGTTGGCAGTGGTAGCACTAAAATGGTTGCACCATGCATGACATGCAAGAAGCATCAAATCCATATCAAAAGTTATCGTGCCACTATGCAAGTTAGAAGTCACAGAATTATGAAATTCATTTTATCTTGCACATTTGAACTGAAACATATGATCTTACCAATGCATGTGTCGTGCTCCTTTATGTAAAGCTTATCCCCTTTGCATTTACATTCATATCCGCCCCATGTGTCCTTACAGCTACAGCCCTCACACTGGCAAACATTGCCTTCCTTGCATTCATCAATATCTGCACCGCAATCAACATAATACAATCATTTCGGTTCACATAGAAAACTTTGGAAATACATCTCAACAGGCCTCGGTTCCTATGATAACGGGAAAACTGGAAGGTGTTAATGCACCTTCACATTTATGGCCATCTCCAATGAAACCAGGTGGACAGCGACAGCCGGTTAGATCGGATTCCTGTTTAGCCATTGAAGGACCATGTAACGAGATGATATAGAGATCAGAATTCAACCAAAAAAAAAGCAAAAAAAAAAAAAAAAGAAAAATGGAACAGAAATTATTATGTGTTCAATACTGAAAATGTATACTGAACTGGGCAAGCTGAAAACTTTTGTCCATCTCTGGTTTCTGACCAGCACCCACCATTATTGATCATACATCTTCCAGGTCCAAAGGCTGTAGATAAAGGAAAAATTTGAGAGAAGATGAGCAGAAAAATCTAATCAACATCGTACATAAGGCCATTCTCTTCATACCCTCACACGAAGTGTACCCATCTCCTTTATATTGTACACCGTTTGCCACAGGACACTGACAAACTCTTCCCCTAAATGTATCCTTCATAAAAACAAAACAAGAACCTCAATGAGAAACACTCAGATGTAGTAAATGTAATTCAGATTTATTACATATGTAGAATCACACATCCACCCTAATACGATCAAGAAGAAAAGTGGTTCTCACCTTGCACGCCGTTATGTTGGAATGTGAATCCTTCCAACAGCCACCATTATTCTCAAGGCATTCGTTGGTCTCAATATCTGTATTAATGTGTAGTAAGAAAGGAGATCGGACTACAGAGAAAGCCTCACTATTAATTTTACCACTGCCTAAAACAAAAGAAGATGCAAACCTCCATTAAGACAAATGGGAGGGTCAGTAGTCTCCTTGAATCCAGCACAAACGGCTTTCAAGACAGCAGTCCGCTCCAATTTTCCTACATATATAGAGAGATAAAATAATGATTTAAACAAACAAGGAACAGAAAAATGTACAATTTCCTCCTGCTCAAGGCCATGTGTTAATTTATGCGAATTGATCATGAAGTTCATGTTTAAGTATCGAAGATGCTGCGAACTTTTTGTTTAGGGTTAACGCAAACTTTATTTAGTTAGAAATGTAATGCAATTTTGCAGATGTTGCCTCATATTGGAGAAGTGTGGTTTAACTGTAATAAATCTCCTAAACTAGCAAAAGGGCCAACAGCAGCTAACCTATGATATAAAAATTTGCAATGTACCTCTGTATTGAACATCGTTTATGACCAATGTTGGCAAGATGGTAACATCGCCTCGTGATCCATGCCCAATCTGTATTTATTAAAGCAGGAACAAGTTCAAAGAAATAATCATATTTGTGGGATGTTACTACCGTTGCTGACTCCAGGTGTGCAAAATATTGCAAAAAGGAAAGCAGAAAATGTAGAAACCTGAAGATCCTGTTCAGATTTCAGAACTTGATTTTCCACATCGGCTTCAGGGTCACCCATACATGCTTTAATCTTCTCGCTTGGTAGATCTGATGGATCGCATTTTGAATTATCAACATTTACTCGAAGTTGCAAAAGCTGATTGCATAAGTATAGTGAGTTAAAGTTATCAATTTTTTGCTTACTCAGTGATCTGACGACCTCTTCTGCACAATCTTTGGTATATTTCTTTTGCTTCATCGAGCATCTGATGTGGAAATCTGTCACAAAATCCCACCAAACCCAGGGGCGATTGGTTTCATTTGCAACCTTATGCACACAAAGTTGTCTCAAGTTTTCCAACACCACATCCTTTCCTTGATACCCCATCCCGAAGTCCTCTTCTGGATCAGGCGCACAATATCTACCATGATTTATGCACTGTGACTTACATTGACTGCTGAGAAGAAAAGCCTCAGGACAGTACCAAGTTATGTAGTGAGGTCTGAAAAGGGTGTATCCTCCCTTCTCAAGAATTTGAGCATTGCCCTTAAAATCCTTGATGAAATTCATTTGTTCATCACAGCGAACTCCACACTCATCATTGCTATTAGTCCATAGCTCATACTCGACCCTTTCATCTGGATGGGGCATTGATTCAGACCAGTCAATCTTTACCACAACATCCTTAGCCTCCTTCAAGGCACCCTTCAACTTCTGGCCAAGAGAATGATCAACCAACGCCGAAGGGATTTCAATCTTCTCTAAGTATCCATCTGCATCTTTACTCTCCTCGGGAGAATCCATTGTAATCAGCGGCTCATCAACAGTATCAGCCACCAAAACTGCTGCTGCTCCAGCCTGCTGTGCATTCCAAACTTTCAGAGCGAAGTAACAGCCTGAAAAGGAGTACCAAAAAGATTACAAAAATCATCACAGCCTGAGTAGCGGTTCAAACTTGCAGAGTCTTTTGCTAAACTGGGTTGAAATTGAGCAATAGGGGCTCTAATGATCTCAAGCTTTTAAATACAGTAGAATTTAACCTTTTCCTTTTCTCTTCTAAATTGCTACATTCACCTCTGCAAGTGACAATTATATGCATATCTGCAAGTTCGACTAGCACTGTAGCACCCAAAAGAAGCATATATACACTTGGTTTGAAAATTTTGAATTCAGATTCTTTTCTTTCACAACATTTCTCTGTTGAGGACTTCAAGAATTTTCCCAAATAAAATGGAGGGGAACAAATACCTCAAGTCTGCCATGACCTTGATTAATAAAGTTAAATAAAAAATTGAAACAGCAATGACCTTTCCTACTCTTTCCCTATTGCAGGGTTTGTCTATTTCCTATTTCAGGCTACCGAAAAGATTCGGTTTTCTTAACCACCTAGAAATCAGAATCATCCATGGTTCTGTAATAACAGAATAGAGCAAGGATACATCTTTTAACTGAGCAACTATCCTCCTAGATCCATTTCAACCTGCAATCCTTTGATCTCACCTCCCAAAAACTCTCTGAACCGTCTCTTAATTTGTTGAAATTGCATTGAATTTTGTTAGTACTACTGAATGTAATAGATGATGAATCAGTGGGCAAATCCTATGTTACCCATAATCAATAGAGACTATTGAACAAAAATGGGTCAATTTTTTACAAAAGAACGAGAAACTTGTTCAGACCAGAGGACCACATGGAAAGCATGCAGGAAAGCTGACCATGAAAAGCAGAGTACAAAATTTATAAAACAGGAGAACTAGGCCCCAGGTTTCACCCTCAAGATACTTCCACAAAGACCAGCTCAAGTTCCCATTTCCCAAACAGACAAAAAAAAAATAATAATAATATAATAAAATAGTAAAAGAAGCTCTCCCCGAAAAATACCAGTTGAACCCACCAAAACAAGAAGAAAAAACGAAGAAGAAGAAGATGAAGGAACTCAGCTGTTCACATCAAACCCAAATATCTAACTTATCAAAACTCTATTGATTTTGATGAACATCTCATGATTCCATTAACACATGCATATTGGAAGGGACAAAAATTAAAATTTTAAATTGGTGGAAAATATAAAATTACCTCCTCGATCAAGGAGCAGGATAGTGGGACGAGTAGTTTTGGACTTGAAAGGCTTATCACCATCAAAGGCAGAACAACCATTTGCACCTTGCTGAGGATAAACAACACTCCCAACCATTGAACCTCCATAATCAGGCACACCAAAATTGCCAATAGCAGCATCATGCTTTGACCTGAGATCAAGAGGATCAAGTATACTAACACTGCTCTTCTCCACCACGAATCTTGCCTCACTCTTGTTAATTACAATCAACAAAAGGGCCAGCACCAGAATCAAGAAAGCCCTTGAAAACAGAGCATCCAAAGCAGCCATCATTCAGAAAACCCCCAAAAACAGAGCAAAAGAGGGATTAAAAAAAAAAAAAAAGAAAAAAAGACACAAATGGGTTGTGTTGGGATTTTGATTTTGTGTATAAAGAAGCAAAAGAAGTTCAAAAAAGGAAAGAGAGGTGCAACGAAGACAAAAAATCGAAATAGGTGCAAGTAAAGAGGAGAAGGGAAACAAAAAATTAATTGCTTTTGGCTTAGAGCTACTACATGAATATAGATGATGATGATGGGAACAGAGGAGAAATGGAAAAATTAAAACAAAGAAGAAGAAGAAGAAAAAAAAGGAGCAGACTTTGATTAGTCTTTGAGAGAAATGAAATGGAAATGGAGGTGGACTTTGGCTTCTTCTTCTTCTGCCACTTTCATTTTTTTTTTCTAATATTTCCTGGTTCTTACATATTTGCTGGTCTTTTGCTCTGACGTAAAGGAAACGACTTGAAAAGTGAGAGAGATAGTGAGCATAGCAACCACCACGATTCCAACTTTGGGGTTTTGGAAAGTTTCAACTCAAAAACAAAATAGAGTAGTGTTAAAAAAAGAAAGACCGAGATATTATGAGTATATAAGGAAAATGACATTTATATACAATATATATATATATATAGCTTATATTTGTTATTATCTGCAACAACTACTACTTTTCTCGGTCATAGAAATTAATTTGCTTTGATATAAATACAGTTAATTTTTTTGAGATCCAATTTTGAGATTAATTCATTTTATGAAGACATCAATTTTTTTTTAATTCTTTTTTCGTATTTGAATCGAACACACAACTAGGTTTCTGTAAGAAATTATCAATAGTTATTAAATCCGGAAAAAAGGACTGACTGGTTGGAGACATATATGAAACTTTGATGAACGTGATTAATTAAGACGCGTTCTTAGTGGGGGTCATTAAAAACCGCAAACACATAAAAATGTTTATTGAAGTTTGCACATCAAGAATACTCAAATCCAAATTATAACAAGTGGGCATGGACTTGGAATCTAGTAATCTCTCCGTCCCATAATTATTGTTCAGTTCGAGTTTTTTTTTATAGTTCAAATTGTATTAAGATGAAATCTTAAATTGAATAATTATTTTGAGACAGTGGGAATAATTAAAAGAATAATACAGTTTGATTTTGATTTACTGATTATTTCTTCGGCGGTAGTAATCATTATAATATATGGAATTGGATTGGATGACTTTGTGAGTAAGTTAAGCTACCAGGATAATTTTATTGGACCACATGACTCGAGTAGTTAGCCAGTTGCTTTTGCTAACCATATTTCAGAATTAACTAATGCAGAAATTATGTCAAACTTTTGATTTAAGATAGGTGGAAGATGTAAGAGCATCATGATTCATGCATTACAAGGAATGTTATACTCCCTTCCTTCGTGCCATAATATTTTTCGAAAGTGAAATTTTAAATTAAATTATTTTTTGAGACTGAACAAATAATCATAACGAGTTGAGATAAATAAACTAATTGATTTTCAAGATTTATTATTATTATTATTATTATTATTATTATTATTTTGAAGATTCAGGTTGCGGTGGGGGAGAGTCAGTATAACGTATCTCACTATCACAGTATAGAATCTCTCTTTGTTTGCTTTTTTCTTTTAATGATTTTTTCAAATTATTTTCATAATAACTGTCTAATCTCAACATATCTTTTTATATTTTTAATACACTTTTTTATATTTTTAATAAAAAAAATACTTAAAACTACACACTAAAAAAACAAAACAAACATGATGGAGTGGGTTTCATTTAAGACCAGTCTTGCCTTGTAATTTGGGCAAGCGATCACAACTCACAAGTCCACGGGCTAACTCATTCACCCTTTTCCTTTAAAATTATTTTTTTGGTATTTTTGAAAAAACATCACTCTCAGGCCTCGGCTAGTCAGCTACATCAAAGAAAATGATGACAAGCAGCTGAAAATTTTTCTCTAATACCAATAATCAAACACTTAGCATGCTTTAAAAGCAAACACTTTGAACGCACAAAATGAATTGAACTCAAACCTCTAATTACTGTCTTATAGAAACATACATGCAATTGTTGAAACACCATAAATCTATGCAAGTATATAAATTTTATTCAAGCTTCAAATAAAATTCGACATAGAAGACGCAATTACCAGTAATCCAAAAGTTCTCCATTCAATTTCCGATTTACTCCCCGTAGTAAAAAGACAACACAAAAAGAGAGAAAGAAAGGGGAACTCCTGCCGCTGATTCATAATTCGTAATCCATTCTTCTCAAATCGCAAATTTTGCAGCAAAAATAAACCCACATGTAATTTTGAGACCTGAAGTTCTAAAAGACCGATAACATGAAGCAAAAGCAGGAAGGGGTGGAGGAAAGAGTTGGAGACGTGAAAATTATTTTAAAAACAGAAGAATGCTTTAGATTTGAACAAAGAATGGCCACTATGAACCAAAATGACTTGTATACAAAACCGGCAACCGAACGAGGCCACAAGGCAGAAGGAGCGAACTACCCAAATGGAAGAAGAAGGGGTCCAAGTATTCCCCCTTTATATTTACTAGACGTGGTTGGACCGCACGAGGTGTTGTCTTTAGGCAAAGAGTGACCTAAATTGGCAGTAGTGTTTCTCAAATGCAGCTCGAGATATATACTTGCGGCTGATGAGTTCTATTTTAGCAAAAATAAACAGCGGGAGAGCGCGATTCACCCAAACTAATACGAAAAGATAATATAAAGAAAATTATTGGTTGAAGGAAGAACAGAGTATTTCATATAAACGATTGAAGTCTTCTAACTTATCCCTTAATAAGAAGATCACTCATGTGCGGCTAATATATATACACTATTACATCCAAGAAAAGCTCTTGGATGAAGTTTGCAAAGACCATTGAGAGCTCACCGAGAATGGAAAAAGTTCAAACTTAGTTGCACGAAATCAATATGTATCCTGAGGAGCTAGTTAGAATACCATTCGGTATGAAATGTAAAAGGAGACAACCAAAATTTTTTTAAAAAAATATTATTCTGGTTCGGCCATATAACCAAACATCTAGCATACAAGAAATCAAACTCACATTGCAACAGGTTTAGCTCTAATTGAATGTTACCTTGCACCAATAACAACCCATTAAAAAACTCTTGCACCAGTTTACCTCCAAAAATCAAACCTATCAACCGGCAATCATTGACAATAAAAGAAAATCAGATAGGGGAAGAAAAAAAACAAAACAAAGTAGCTCGACGATGTGGTTTGCTTATGCGGTCAAATTGATATTGGAGTCGGATTTTTTTTTTTTTAAAAAAAACTTTTTTGTAAATCTAGAAAAAACCACATCTTTCTACACTGAAGAAGAATATGAGTATTTAACTTTATAATGAGGAAAATAAAAAGCACAAGTGGAATTCAGAAACTCAAAAGAGGATCAAACGGGAAAGAGATAACATATCTAATATCAAACGGGAAAGAGATAAACAACTTTTCTCAATGAGTTGGACAGCCAAAAACGTTGGACAAGAGAATTAAAGAGGGAAAGCGAAATAAATAAAGAAAAAAGTGGGACAACAAGATAAATTAAAGAGAGATGTGCAAGGAAAAAATGAATTTGGAAGCAGCAAAAGAGATATTAGTAGCAATACAAGTCGCAAACAAGGAACCACGGCTTGTATTGACAATAATAATTTTATAAAAACGGATCTATAAAATTGTCCATGTAAAACTTGATATTAGAGAAATTACGCATGAATAATTTTAATTGATGAGAAAAATGATATTTGAAATCTAGCTTGTCCGTGTAAACCTATATGAGAGATATCATGGATGAATAATTTAAATCAAAGGAAGAATCTATAATCTATAATCTTCTATAATAATAATAATATAAATAAATAATAAATAAATAAATAATAATAATAATCCCCATTATAACAAAAACCATTTTTATCAAAATTTAAGTGTCACTTTATCTATAAAAGTTGCTCCATTTTAAATCACTAATAAATTAAAATAAAAAATAAAATAAATCTATAATCTATAATAACCCCGTTAACTTTATCCAAAATTTCAAGCATCACTCTATCCATAAAAGTTGCTCCATTTCAAATCACCAATAAATTAAAATAAAAAAATAAAATATATTTATATAAAAATAATTTATATAAAATAAACAAAAATTATTCTTCATAGCTTTAGATATTAGAAAGTTGTAACTACATTTTATGAAGTGGTAATGAAGTTTTTTTTCACGTCGTTGTTCTTTCCTTAAAATAAGAAGTTTTTCCTTTTAATTGCATTGCCACTTATAAACTTATACGTACTATGAGTAATATAGTTTGTGTACATGTATGTTAATATGATGATGTAATTGTCTTTTAAAACACATTACAAAAAGATTACTTTAAAGCGACAAAATATAAGTACATGATATGCTCGTTACATGTTCCTTTTCCCAGTTTAAAATTGTTTAGATATGAACAAAATATTTTTTTTACATATTTATTATTCTATTTAAAAATTTTTAGATGGAAATAAAAAATTTTATTTGAATTTACCTATACAAAAGACGTTATTTCATCATGTATCTGTGCAAACGTACGGGTGAAAAACCTAATGTTATTTAAAATATAAAACCCGTAAACTGGAAAATCAAAATGAGCTATATACACCGCACGGTTTCTTTTCTTTTGCTCCACTATAACATAAACTTCCCCCTAAAAAACACTAAAGAAGGGAATACAAAGAACAGGAAGAAGACATTTGATTTGGATTTATAGTTGATGTAATAATTAATAACCGCTGAGCAATTTAAATTAATGAAAAAGTCTTGTATAAAGTGTAGATTTATAAGACTTGATTGCGGTTGAGAGTGGGGGAACAATCTCTTTCAGGTTGGTTTTGTAATGGACCAGCCATTTACTTGTATCCGCCCGAGGCTCAAAGATTCAGGTGTTGTCTTTGTACCGTTGGAGTTTTTTTTTTTTTCCCCTAATTGAATTTTGGTTCTTTTAATTTTCTTTTTTTTTTTATTTTTTTAACTTTCTGTTTTTTTTTTAATTTTTTAAAAAATTCATCCCAGTAAAACCCACTTAAATGTGGGTAAAACTCCCATTACAAATCCCTTGGTGGCAATTAATATACTGGACACCCGGAGCTCCTTAATTAGGGAGCTTCGGGTTTTAATATTACGCGCTCCACTTGTACCCAACTTCTTATAAATTACAAAAATGACACCGCACAGGAAAAATATAAATAGACATGATTTTCTAGAAAAAAAATAATACAGACTTTTCTCCCCAAATCTTCTCTGGTATCGTTATTTCTTCAGGCGAAATTCACCTAAAATCTTCGACGGCGAATTGCTGCGTTCAAATCCGCATGTCTTCATTACATATCATCATCTCTGCGGTATATCTATGCAAAATCCATAGACTCCGGTGAATTTTTTTTCTTATATTTTTATTTTTCCGTCGAATATTCGTAGATTTAAACTTTTTCGGTGTGAAATTTGCTTGCTGTTATATATTTCTCCAGCAAACCTTTATATTTCCACCTATATTTGTTATTTTCAATTGTTGATATAACTCGAACATTGTTTAAAGTATCTATGGTTTTATTGACATAATAGTTATTCGCGATTTTGGGCTTATTCTTGTGCATATATGAATTTTAAGATTACTGATATTTATCCATCAATTGTTACAACAGAAGAATGAGAGTCAGACATGTAAGAAATGAATTGTCAGACTCAAACGATCCGACAGGTGATGTTCATCCTATGATGATTAGTTGTTCATTTCAAATATATGATTATTCATCCTTTGAGAGTATCTTGCTCATCTAATATGGATTATTATTCATCCTGTGATGTTCATCCTCTGAGAGTGTCTTGCTCATTTCATATAGGTTATTGTTCATCTTGTGATGTTCATCCTCAGATAGTGTTTTGCTCATTTCATATGGATTATTATTCATCCTGTGATGTTCATCCTCTGAGAGTATCTTGCTCAGTCTATTAAATACAATGCTCATCTTGTTTTATACGATGTTCATCCTATTTGATACAATGCTCATCCTGTATTTGCACTTATTCTTTCCAGTTTATTGTGAACAACAAATGGTTACAATTGTGGCCGTCTGCATGTTGCCTCAACAGGGGTAAAACTATTTCATTTGAAACCTTTACTATTATTTTCAACAGTTAGTTGGTCTCACATTGTGTTTGTTCTGTTTTCTCTTTCTCTTTTCGACCCTTTTAAATAGAGGAGAAAAGATAGCCTGAGTGATTGCTTTAACGGATTGAGAATGAGAAATCTAGCTGACTTTATGCAATCAAGAACCAACATTTTGTATCCAAAGCTTCAAGAAAAGATCAATGAATTTTATCTAGAAAATGTATAGGGCAAAAAGTTTAATGTGAAGCCTGCTGAATTTTTTTGACTTATCAGAATAGGAGTTTGTAGATATTTGACTAGGTTGTAATCAAAAAATGACAATGTGAGCCCTGCTGAAATGTTTGAGATGTCCTCAGTTACTATGAAAGTTGAAAATTCATTATTAATCACTGAAATATATATATATATATATATATATTTGTAAATTGTGAACTGAAAGTTCATTTAACATTTCTAGTTGTTCACTGCACAAGATACAATATGCATCATGTTTTAACTCCAATGTTAATCCTACATGCTTTGATGCTCATCCTGTATGCGTTGCTGCTCATCATGTATCATTCGGTGCTGATCTTGACAAAGAATATTAGGTTGCTCATTCTGCATGCTTTGATGCTCATCCTGTATGCTGATGTTCATTTCTGGATATATGTTCACTGCCTATCACTAAATGTTCATCTTGTATCATGTCTTGCTCATTTGCTATTCATCTTAATATTACTGTGAATGTTTTCATACAACAGAGATCAATATAAGAGTGTGAGGAGAGGTAATAAAGACAAGAGTCTCCCTCTACACAACCCATTGAAGGCACAACAGTTCACCGTCTCAACAAGAGAATGCTGAAAAACAAAAAAGGCGAAATCATCTACATCTACCGCCAAAGAGAAAAAAGGGAAGAGAAAAGATGGAGGTGATGATCTTGCAGGGCAAAAAGAAGCAAAGAAGCAAACAGCAGATTCATCATCTAAAAAAGCCCACTGAAATGTCTGAAATGTCTTTGATCACTTTGAAGACAATGTGAATCCTGCCGAAATGTCTGAAAGGTCTTTGATCACTTTGAAAGTAGAAAATTCAGTAAACTTTTCTATTGTTCATTGCACCAATTTAAATGTGCATTTGGTTATAATGCAATATTCATCTTAGAGTCATGGTCCTTATTTTTCAAATGTCATGTATAATCATCTAGTTAAATTACAATATTTATCATGTTAAACACAATGATCATCTTCAACAATTATCTGCAACAATAAGTTAATCGTTTCCCAGCACAAAGTAGTCCCTAACTTATAATTGAAATGCTTAAACTTCCCTAAACCCCCTAAACCCTAAACCCTAAACCGACAAGGAGATGAATTTTTTTAATTTTTATTTTTTGGTTGAAATTTTTTTAAACCGATTATGCTAGGGTCTCGTAGCCTAATTGGTTTAAAAAAAATTTAAAAGGTTAATTATTTTTCGGCGCAAACTAGTCCCTAACGTATAATTGAAATGCTTAAACCCCCCTTCCTAAACCCCTAATCCTAAACATTAAACTCTAAACAACTAAACCGACAAGGAGATGATTTTTTTTTTTTTTGTTGGATTTTTTTTAAACCGATTAGGCCAAACGAGACCCTAGCTTAATTGGTTTAAAAAAAATTTTAAAAATTAATCGTTTCCCGGCGCAAACTAGTTCCTAACCTATAATTGAAATGCTTAAACCCCCTAATCCCTAAACCCTAAACAACGAAAATGACACGGAGATGAATATTTTTAAATTTTGTTTTTTAAAAAAAAAAATTGTTGTAATTTTTTCTAAGTTAATTAATTTGCATCTACTTACTACTATCAAAATTTGCATCTTGATAACAATTAAAAAACACATCAGAATTTTTATACAATTTTGCACCAAAATAAAAATTCAATAAAGAGTTTTTGTTCTGTACCAAACAACTTACAATACACATCCTATAAAACTGTAATGCTCATCATAAATTCAAACGTCTTTCATTGGGAAAAAATATTGTACAAATATGATATCTCCTCTTTCTAACTACAATGTTCACTTCAATTGAGAGAATGCTCATCCTGCGAAACTGTAAAGTTCATCCTATGTCTGAAGTTCACTGCAAACCGGCAAAATTCATCTCGGAAAACTTGATGTGCATCTTTTATCACTTGGTGCTCATCTTGTAAAACTATGATGTACATCGAAGCCTGCATTTTCTGTTAATCACAGAAAATATACAGGAAATGTAGTAAATAGCCATAAAAATTAAACAAAAACATTCAGAATAATATTGAAATTCATCCAATTATAAAGAAATTCATGTTCACCTCCAACAGAAACGACACTTTCATCAAATCCTTCCGCATTAACGATGCTTTCATCCTCTGATTCTTCGCTTGAATAAGGAACAATGGCAGCAGACATTCCTTCCAAACAGCTCATTTACCAGACCAAAACGAACACAAAAAACGCAATAAATCAAAATTATATGCTGCTGGTGGTGAAGCTGCAATTCATATGACACAGCTGATGAGATTCAAATTAAATCAAATTGAAATAAGAAACTAAATCAAATCAAAACATTACCTTAGAATCACCGTCAGGAAACTAAATCGAATTGAAGTTCGCCGGAAGATCGCCATCAAAGAATCGCCGGATGAAGTTCTAAATTCTAATTACTTCGATTAGGTTGTAAAAGGGGAAGAGAAAAGAGGAGAAAAAAAAACTGATGCGCGTAAACCACATTCTTTTTTAAAAAATTTGGAGACGTGATTTTTTATTCGTGGCTTATACGCGTCTTGGAGCTCCCTAACTTGGGAGCTCCGGGTGCTTAATATTATTTGCGCCTTGGCAAGAATCGAACCCTAGTCTATTACTAGAAAAGATAGCACTCTAACCAATAGACTATCATTCAATTCCCAAACTTTTTTTTTTCAGTCGTTATAATTTTAATCAAGGTACTTTTCTTCTTTCTTTTCATTTTATAATAATTTTTATGTTTATTTAATCTAACCTTTTCCTTTGAATACACATAATTTAATCTAACCGATATCATCATTTTACAATTATTAAAGGAAACATTTATGTCGTTGAAGGTGAATCCGCAACGTTTTTACCAGTCTTTTAGTGGACACAAATTAAGTGTAACATCAACCTCCAAAACAATGCAAATATTTACACAAGGAGATTGGCACTTCAATATCTTCTCGCTTATTGTTTTGGTACTAAGAACTAAAATATTCAGAATTCAACTACGTACTAAAAACATTAATTAAACCTGATTACATAATCTAATCATTCCTCTGTCCTAAAATTATTGTCCAATTTGTATTTTTGCTTTTAGTTTAATTTGTACTAAAAATGAAAACCCAAACTGGACAATAATTTCGGGACGGAAAGAGTATGTTTTTCCAATTTCAGGAAATAATGTCTTTTATATATTCGGGACAGAAAGAGTATGTTTTTCCAATTTCAGGAAATAATGTCTTTTATATACCTATATAAAGATGATAATAAAGTTTTATTACTTTTATTAACTTACCTATCTCTAGAGCCCCTCATACAAAATTTCCAAACCCTAATCTGAATCTTCTAATAACTACAGTAAGTAGAAAAAATAAAAAACGAAAAGAGAAAAAAAAAAAAAAAGAAAAAAAAAAGAAAGAAAACATCAAGAGCGTCGCGCTCCTAAAATGCGCTCCCCTTCTGACCGTTTCCCCGTCCACTCCAAAGGCTTTTTTGTCAATCTTCATATCCTTTTTCTTCGCGGTTAGAGATCTTTCATGGTTAGGTATTCTACCTCTCCTTTAGTTTTCGATCATGTTTTGGTTCATGTTGAGATTTTGTTGTTGTTATTGTTCCTTCAAATGATTGTCTATTTATTATATATTATTAGTATAGGTCTTGTGTGACACACAATTATCTTGGGACGAAAGTAATAATATTATTATGTTTTAATAGAGATGATGGGTGTGTTTTAAATTGTTTACCATTTCCGTTTTAGTAGTGAATAATGCACTCAAACGTGGACATGATTTGATCTGACGGGTAAAAATAACACCATCAAGCTGACTCTAGTTTGCACATGTTTGCTATCTTTATTTCCAAATTTCGGTTTATTTTGTGTGAATTAGTGTTGAATTTCTGCTAATGTGGCAACTGTTAATGTGAATAGGTTCGTTCTGAGACTGCATTGACATATGTTTAAACACAAAAAAAGTGGCTTAGGAAGGGGAAAAAGAAATTATTGGAGAATATCTATTTTGTTTGGAACATTTTGATTTAGGAGCAGATATGGCATGGTTTAGGGCTGGGTCTAATGTGGCAAAGCTTGCCATTAGGAGAACTTTGTCGAAAAATGGAGGTTCATACGTGACAAGAGTTCATCCTGCAGCTGCATTTCACACTACAACTGCTGTGAAGTCAAATGCAAAATCCCCCCCACCTCTTCCTCGTCCTGTTCCGTTGTCCAAGTTAACCGATAGCTTTTTGGATGGCACGAGCAGTGTTTACCTCGAGGAGCTTCAGCGAGCTTGGGAGAAAGATCCTGCAAGTGTTGATGAGTCTTGGGATAACTTCTTCAGGAACTTTGTTGGCCAAGCTGCCACTTCTGCTGGTGTTTCTGGGCAAACCATTCAGGAAAGCATGCGGCTTATGTTGCTTGTCAGGGCTTACCAGGTCTATGGTCACATGAAGGCCAATTTGGATCCGTTGGGACTGGAAAAGAGAGAGGTTCCGGATGACCTAGATCCTGCTCTCTACGGCTTCTCTGAAGCTGATCTTGATCGCGAGTTTTTTATTGGCGTCTGGAGGATGCTCGGGTTTTTGTCTGAGAATCGTCCTGTACAGACTTTGAGGGCGATATTGACGCGACTGGAGCAGGCTTACTGTGGTAACATTGGGTATGAATATATGCACATCGCTGATCGTGAGAAATGCAACTGGTTAAGGAATCGGATTGAGACACCTACAGCAGTGGAATACACTCGCGATCGACGCGAGGTTATTCTTGATCGTCTAATCTGGAGTTCTCAGTTTGAAACTTTTCTGGCAACTAAGTGGGGTGCTGCTAAGAGATTCGGGCTTGAAGGTGCAGAAACTTTGATCCCTGGAATGAAGGAAATGTTTGATAGGTCTGCAGATCTTGGAGTTGAGAGCATAGTGATTGGAATGTCGCATAGAGGTAGACTTAATGTGCTGGGGAATGTTGTTCGAAAGCCTTTGAGGCAGATATTTAATGAGTTTAGTGGGGGTACCAGACCTTCTGAAGAAGCTGGCCTCTATACTGGAACTGGTGACGTGAAGTATCACTTGGGCACATCTTATGATCGTCCAACTCGAGGAGGAAAGCGACTTCATTTGTCACTTGTGGCAAATCCAAGTCACTTGGAAGCGGTGGATCCTGTTGTGGTTGGGAAAACTCGAGGGAAACAGTATTATTCTAACGATACAGATAGGACTAAAAACATGGCTGTGTTGATCCACGGTGATGGTAGCTTCGCAGGTCAAGGAGTTGTTTATGAGACATTGCATCTGAGTGGTCTTCCTAATTACACTACCGGGGGAACTATACACATTGTGGTGAATAATCAAGTTGCATTCACTACTGATCCCAAGTGTGGAAGATCATCTCAATATTGTACTGATGTTGCTAAAGCCCTGAATGCTCCAATTTTCCATGTCAATGGGGATGATGTGGAGGCAGTGGCTCGTGTCTGTGAACTTGCTGCAGAGTGGCGGCAAGCATTTCATTCGGATGTGGTCGTTGACATTGTTTGTTATAGGCGATTTGGCCACAATGAGATGGATGAACCATCATTTACCCAGCCTCAAATGTATAAGGTTCGTTCGTCATATTCATTTATTGGAAAAATATACTTTATCTCAACATTTGTTTCTTGGAACCATTCTGTATTTAAAGTAAATTTATATGCCCGCATTCGGATACTTCATATAGGTGATCCGGAGTCATCCTTCAGCTGCAGAGATTTACCAAAAGAAGCTGTTAGAATCTAATCAAGTGTCTGAACAAGATATTGAAAGGATAACCAAAAAGGTTAAATCGATTCTTGATGAAGAACTATTAGCCAGTAAAGATTATGTTCCCCAACGAAGGGATTGGCTTTCAGCCTTTTGGCGTGGATTTAAGTCTCCTGAACAGCTTTCACGCATCAGAAACACGGGGTATAATCTGTTTCTCAAACATTTTGTGGTTATACCAGTTTTTGATCTTTACATGTCACATTTAGATAGACTTTTCCTGCAGAGTCAAGCCAGAGATACTGAAGACCATTGGCCAAAAGATCACAACCCTTCCAGCAAATTTCAAGCCTCATAGAACACTGGAGAAAAATTTTATTAAGCGGGCGAAGATGATTGAAACAGCTGAAGGTATTGAGTGGGCAGTAGCAGAGGCACTAGCTTTTGCAACACTAATCGTCGAAGGAAATCATGTCAGGCTTAGCGGTCAAGATGTGGAAAGGGGTACTTTCAGTACACGTCACGCAGTAGTTCATGATCAAGACACCGGAGAGAAGTACTGTCCTTTGGATCACGTAATCGATGATCAAAATGAGGAAATGTTCACCGTCAGTAACAGGTGGATATGATTTCACAACTGTTTTATTAAATTTACTTGTCCAAGAAAAGGAGACACATTAGTATGTTTTTAAAGTTACTGTTTATTTCTAGCAGGCAACTGGCGGTGTGGATCTAACTTTTGAACTTCAATCTCTCTTTTTTTCTTTTTTTTTTTCTAGCTCTCTCTCTGAATTTGGTGTTTTGGGATTTGAGTTGGGTTACTCAATGGAAAATCCAAATTCTTTGGTCTTGTGGGAAGCACAGTTTGGTGATTTCTCGAATGGAGCTCAAGTCATATTTGATCAATTCTTGAGTAGTGGAGAGGCAAAATGGCTACGCCAGACTGGTCTAGTTGTGCTTCTGCCTCATGGTTATGATGGACAGGGCCCTGAACATTCCAGTGCCCGTTTGGAACGCTTCCTTCAGGTGTTTCCTAGTTTGATATTTGATGATCCTGTTTGATCTTCGATTTTGAGTTCTTGGATTGATGGCCTTACATATCCTGACATTATTTCATTCCAGTAGTGTTAGTATTGTTCTTTTCATGGATTTTACTTGTATCGTGGCAGATGAGTGATGACCACCCCCATATTATTCCGGAGATGGACGAAATGGTGAGGAAACAAATTCAGGAATGCAATTGGCAGGTTGTGAATGTGACAACGCCTGCAAATTATTTCCATGTTCTCAGGCGTCAGGTAAGTGGGGGCTTTTTCTTTTGTAGTGTTAATAATCTAGTTACATTTTCTTGTTCTAACTCAGATGCACATCTCAGATACATAGGGAATTCCGTAAGCCCCTCATTGTGATGTATTCGAAGAGCTTACTTCGGAGTGAGGATTGTAAATCGAATCTCTCCGAATTTGATGATGTCCACGGTCATCCTGGTTTTGACAAACAGGGTACCAGATTCAAGCGCCTCATAAAGGATCAGAATCTCCATTCTGATTTGAAGAGAGCATCAACCGTTTGATTCTCTGCTCAGGACAGGTCTGCAATTTTTTCTTTCCCATGTGTAATGCTTATTAGGCCGTGTTTGCTGGCCTGTTACTGACCTTCATTGATGTCTGTTGGTGCTAATGCTCTCCCAGTAAGGAGCACAAATAATTTAAGAAATGCTCCCTTTTAGCGTAGTGTAGTCCCAAAAAAAAGTCAAGCTTGTTGTACTATTTTGGGATGGACGGACTCGAATGTTTTTTAATGAACTCCTATGCGTTTTTTTTTTAAAAAAAATTTTTATTTGATGTCATTGAAATCTTTGATTCATATACGAAAAAGGTCACTGCTTTTTTGAACTCTTTTTTTTCAGGTTTACTATCATCTTGATAAAAAGAGAAAGGAGGTGGAAAGGAAGGATGTCGCAATCTGCAGGGTTGAACAACTCTGTCCATTTCCATATGACCTTATTCAGCGTGAACTGAAGCGGTATCCAAGTAAGCATTTGATATTCTGGTTGAATTAGCTTTGATGGGAATTTGTACTACTATGAATGTTTTCTGGACTCTTCCTCTTGTATTGGATAGTGTGAGCTGTTTTCTGTGAAGAATTTGTTTCTCCTTAGCATCCAAAAATCTCTTGAGTCATTCTCCTTTTCAAAATCGTGCAAATTAATGCAAAAGTAGAAAGTAGTATAGTTATCCCTGCTAGATTGAAATCATCGTTTAGAGGGTACCTAACTTGATATTGTTCTGGCATTGGAGTTTCTTAGATGAATGCTTTAAAAGGGTTTCCTTTGATGCATTTCTGACTTGTTTGCCCGGATGTTTGTTCAGATGCGGAGATTGTTTGGTGCCAGGAAGAACCAATGAACATGGGTGCATACAACTATGTCGCGCTTCGTCTTTCTACTCCAATGAAGGCATTGGGTAGAGGTGATATGAACGACATAAAGTATGTTGGACGTCCTCCATCTGCCGCAACAGCCACTGGATTCTCACATGTCCACAAGGAGGAGGAGAGAGAGCTTGTCGAGAAAGCCTTGCAGCCTGATCTGATCAGTATGCCGTAATGTGGCTTACCATTCAAAAGCATTCAGTTATTCTTTGATTTTCAGTCTGGATGTGAGGGAAGCACAAGTTTCTATAACTTCACTCTAAAAGCCGTCTTTTCAGCATAAATAACGGAGCAGCTGGTTCTTTCTAGCAAAGGCAGCTTGATCAACAGAGTCCGGGAGAAAAATAACTAGAACAGCATCTCAATTGCTTTACTTTTGGGCAATACAAAGTTCCATCATTCTTAGGTTTAATTTAACAACACTTCAGTTCAATAGTAATAACAATAGTAATAGTTCAAATTGACCAGTTTTATTACTGGTTAAAAAACATGACACAACAGATTCTTGGCGAAGGGAAGAGATCGAAATGTGATTTCCCCTAATCATATATTGTTCGTTGATGAACTTTCGCTTTCAGAAACCGCCTGAATAGCATAACCGAGTGGCCATGCAGCTCCAAACAGGGAGTCCTTGTATTTGATTTTGTTCACCAGTGTAATCTTGCGATATGGGCTCAAACCTGAAATCAAATTAAACACATCAAATTAAATTAGTAGATGAGAAAAACCTTGAATTCTAAATTGATTTGTGCGCATTTCAGGAACGTTGCTAGGAGGAATGAAGGAAGGCTTACCAAATCCATCCACAAGCAACGAGTACTGGTAAACAAGATCCAAGCATATATAAGGTCTGTCTCTTTCTTCGACATTTGGAAATCTAGTCGCAATATCACTGTATTTAGTCCTGCAAGCTATCTTTGCTGCGGTATTGAAGTCCACAGGGCGAGCAAAGCCAGAAGGAGCATTTGGATCAATGATGCCGATCTGAATGCCAACAAAAAATATGAAATATGTTTGAGTCTGTGATCAGAAAAAGTACTAACAATCGCAGTAGTGAAGCGCTACTAGCGCGACTGTATGTTAGTACCAAAACAGAAGACAGAAAAGAAGTGGGAAAACAAAGATAAAGAGATTTTGTACCTCTCTAGCAATGTCATAGAAGAAGGAAGAAACATAGAGATTCTTCTGTCCTGCTCCACCTCCACCATTCCAGACTCCATTGAATGTGCAGGCCTGGTGCTCGCAAGGCGCGTCAACTTTCAGCGCATTCAGAACAAATGCACGGCATATCTTTATGTTTGCGCCGGTCGGAAGAGCTGATGCTTCGTAAACTTTCCCATTATAGGTGTAGGTACCTGCTTCCCGAAACACAATAAATCGGTTGAAAGATGCCCACATTTTCTGTTTCTTTTAAGTACTAGCGTACTACTAATTCAGAACTCAGAACAAATCTGGTTTCAGCTGTGGTGATGAATACCTTGGTAACCATAGGGAATACAAGGATGACTGGTGTTTATAGACACCTTTAAAACCTCAGCACGTCCAGCTAGCAATCCGTAGCGCAAGTAACTGCCAAAAAAAAAAAAAAAATCATTACTGATTTTGAGCTGCGTTTATGATACTATCCCTCCACATTCACAAACTAGTAGAAACCAAATTTGTGAAAACTGAGGCCTCAATTCCTTTAGCATGTGTTCTAAATTTTGTTCCGAAGACTTAAATCAAAGAAAAAAAAATACAGAAAAAAAATGAAGAAAAAGACCTGTGGGCATAGAGATGATAAGTTGTTCCCCTGATGAGTATTTCTTGAACATATTTTTTCTTTCCAATTGAAATATCAGATGCTTCTGGCACAGCATAAGTCATCTGCACTGATCCACCACCTAGATCAACTGTTCCATATGTTTTTGAGTATTCCAGCCCTGCTGTTCCCACCAAATAATTTATAGCAACCTGCATATATATGCGACATTTGTGAGAAGTTTACAAACGTCGCGACGCTCATACTCTCGCGAATCCGGGACCCTTTTCGCGCCGCAGATGGATTATGGATACCTTTATAGTAATATATACTACAACAGTTCATATTACTCTAACATGTAAATAAATAAACTTACCCAGAAAGATGTAGCTTCCTGAGTACCTTCAAGCACATTCACCCACTCTGCCTTGTACTTGAGAGAGCTTTCACTTTGGATCAAAGTTCTCACCTATGAAAATGTACAGACACAATTTTTGAAATTTCAAACTCATTGCGGTTGGACGATTTCCAGCAAATGTAAGACAAATCTGAAGTTCTTGTTCATTCAGGAAAAAGAAAAAGCTAAAGAAGGCAACTCTTACAGCTTCCAAAATCTTTTCAGCGGTGTCTCCTTTCAGCAACCTGAGTCCTGCCGTGGCCTAAAATCCCATTTTGTTCAAACCATATTAATCCCATTTTGTTCAAACCATATTAATTAATCATCGGAAAAAAAATCAACTAAACTGTGCCAATATTGTTAATCCTTTGTATATTAATCTAAATTTGCTTGCAGCTTAAAATGAGGAACAAACTGACCCCAACTTTGATAGGTGTAGTTGGCTGAAGTTCTTTAGGAACAATGGCTTCAGCTTGTTGAAGCAGAGGCTCCAGAGATGCAGCTGCTGCATTTGGGTCATCTGCATATGAACTCAACCCTGGTTTTATCTGCAAAAAAGAATAAACAAATTCATCAAGAATATAACTTGCTGAAGAAAGAAACACATTGAACTAATTAGAGAGAAAAAATATTTAAGGCAAACAGGTAAAACATACGGCTTCAAAGAACTCAAAATCTTGGCCAATTTTAACCAAATCCATGTTTTTGTCAAAATGGAAAACATGGACTCTGCTTCCAGTGCTCCCTGCATCAAATATGACTGCGTATTTCTCCGTCGCGGCCGGTGTCAACAGCCCAGCAGCATCAGGGCCGCGGTTGACCGGAACACCTTGAATGAACTGTAGAAATACAGTGCATGAGAGTAAGAAGTAACAGAGAAACTGTTGTGCCTTCAGCATTTTTCTTTGTTCCCTCTGCTTCTTCTCAAGATCAACGAAACAGGGGAGGAGGGGAAATGAAATCAATGGAGGGAACAGGGGAAATTACACCTCTTCACAAGCTGGAGGATCATTCTACATATATTATGACAATATTTGACATTTGTTGCCCTGAAACGAGTGAGAGTGTGAGGGCCTGGTGTGGTAGCTATTTTGAAAACATATTTCCCACGTGAAGTTTATCATCGTTCGAATTCCTTTCCTTCTAAAATAATTGTCATTTGTTCAGAACGAAAAGAATATGAGGTTCCTCTGAATGTTAAACTAAACGGGTTAATTAAAGAAACGTTATTATTGCGTGTGTTACTTTGGGTTAGATGATCATTAGATGTTGTTTTTCCTCGGACAATCCCAATAATTGTCCCCTTTAGTTCACGAGACTTCTAATAACCTCACAAAGTGTTCATAATCATTATTTTTCTTGTTTACTTTTGATTGATGTCGGTCTCGAAGTTACATTTCCTTTTTTTTTTTTTTGAATTAAAACAATTATTGAATATTTGTTTCGTTTTCCTTTGCGACTTGAGCCTCGATTCAGAACTAGTGATTGCTGGTTGCAACTTTTTCTTCAGTCATGGGACCTGATGACCCATTAATAATTAATAACAACTGTTATAAATAGTAGTGCATGCAATAAAACGCGAATAATTAAATAAATGCATGATTAGCTGAAATCGTACATTCGTGAGCAGTGATTGTATTGTGCACCATATATGGTGCACAAATTTGATGTAAACACGCGCTCTTATTGAAAATAACAAAAGAGGAGGTTGCTCACTCTCCTAACTAGCAAGTAATATTCTTTCTTTCTTCTTTTTTTTTTTGGTAATTATTTTAAATCTTATTTTTACTCATATTTATCTAACGAGAACACTTAAATATTCTCTCTCATCATCTTTGTGACCTTCGAATCTTCGATTTAAAATTCAAACAAACCCACCTTCACAGCCACCTCCACCATGATTAACACCTTCTCAGCCCCATTGTTTCCTTCTACTAATCTATCATCTTTTTTTTGTTCTCCTCTATGACTCCTTCATCGGGTATAACCTATTACAAGTAATAAAAAAATAAAGTTGTAACATCAAAACTAATATATATGAACAATATCCATATATAGTATAAACATATAATTGCTATAAAATTTAGATTTTGATTAAGCATATAAACATGAAACATGCTTAGCATTTATCTGCTCTTAATAATTCATCATATTATGAACAACAACTAAAAAATGTATGAACAATGGGTTAATAATGTATGAAAAAAAAATTTTTATAATGATAAATGTATGAACTTTACATCATGGATGTATGAACATGGTGGGAAAGAAAAGAAAAATGTTGTATGAACCTGTTGCTTATGAACACCAAGAATTACAATAACATCAATAATAAAAATGTTTCTAGATATCTTTGGGCCAATAATCAGTTACAAGACCTCATATTAGGTGAAACAAAACTCTTATAAGAATTAAATATTGTAATTAGAAAGTGAACACACCAAGCAAAAACTATTCAAATAGTTAGAAAAACGAAATATGAAAATTAAGATTCACAAATATAATAAACCCTTATAAGAGAAAAAAAATAATGAACAAAATATAGTGATAGTATGAACTTTTTCATTTAACTGTATGAACTTCAACATATCAAACATTAGTTATCAATATTGAGAAAATTATTAAAATACAATTATGAACAAAAGGTAATAATAGTTTATACATATCATTTTCATGTATGAACTTTAGAATATAACTCGAAGTTTGGTATCAAGATTGAACAAATTACTAAAATTAAGGTAAAAATAAAAGAAAACATTGTAAAAATAAAAACCCTTCTTTTTTTTGTAAATGATTTCAACAACAATAATAACAGTTATTTAGGAATTGATGACTTAATTAGACTGTATTAAAAAAGATTTATGAATAATTTATTATTTATGAACTTCAATGTATTCATTGAGATTTAGTATCAATATCATGTCAAACATACCAAAAAAAAGAACAACATGCATTGTCAGCCGAAGAATATTCATGAAAAAATTAATATCTATGTATGAAATTTAAGCAATAAATTGAAATAAATGGAAAATAAGAACCTTTTTTTGTGATATTCCTTTTCTTTTCAGCACGGTTCAGCATGGTGATGGCTGCAGCATTGATGATTCAGCAACGACAATTCTTCATCGGAGAGGAGAATTTTACTCGGATGAAGGGATACAGTGGAAGATGAGAAGTATTTATGTTAAATTTTGATTCTTTCATGCATATATTAATCATAGGGAAAAGATGGTTTGGATTAAATACTATAAGGATTAACACAAATTTCCTTATTTTTCTCCCAATATCTTAGCGCTTGGCAAAAAAAATTGGTTATATATTTATTTCCTAAAAAATAGCTAAAAGTAACGCGTGTTTACACAAATGGTTCATAGTGCAATATGAACCATGGTCCACTATATAACAATTGTATGGAAAGAATCTTAACTCATAATACTGACTATAATTTCACCTACTAGTAAGGAGGAATTCAAAATACTAATCAGAAATATTCAATAAAAACAGTTATCTAATAAAATTGATTAGGAAAACAATCCTGTAAAAAAAATATCATTTATAATAAAATCTTATCTCTTCTATTAAAATAAAATTGTAACTATCTTATATTTCCAAATAGCTCTCGCCGCACCTATATTTCCCTAATAGCTCTCGCCGCAAAGACAATATAGGAACTAGGAAGAAGTCTGGAAATAATTTTCAATCGGTGACTACATCAAGTTAAGGTTGGAGCAGTTGATGCAGATGGGGAAAAGGGGGTTGGAGCAGATGATTTCCATGGAGGAAAATTGGGTGAAGAAGAAAAATTATATGGAAAAAAAAAAGGCCGTGAAAGGATGAGTGCTATTATTTGTATTCGTTTTGCTTTGAGTTAATTGTATATATTATATATTTAATGAAATTATGTTCATCAAGTAATTAATAGTTATCCATATAGTGTGTAAGTAATGTTCATATGGGAAATGTTATTAGATGATAAGATCCGCATAAAATCATGGGAAAAAAATTACATTACCACCTTTGTGTGTGGGTTTTTATTTTGAAAAGAATTAAAATTTACTCTCATTATACTTACGTGTAACACAAATTTACCATATAAATTGGCATTCGCGAGAGCTTTGTTATATAAGAGGGGAAAAATAATCATGACTTGCACATTTGCAAAAGAAAATACGCAGCAAAACAAAAGAGAGCAGGAGATCAGAGCCAACTAGCAGCTTGTAGTATAACATAGTATTTGGTCCCGGCCGGCCATCGATCAACAGCTATTGATTGGAAGACAGTGGATTATGAAATTAAACATGAGTTTTTAATTTTTCAAGAAATTAATTCCAACAGTTTTAACTCATGACATTTTCTTAAAAATGAATATTATTGAAGATTTTTAATTAATGTAGCTAAGTCGGTGATAGCGAAAGCATTAATAAGCTGCCAAATGACACAAAGTATCGAATAATCTTCAATCAGGACAAAGCTTGAGCGGACAAAATATATAGGTCATGCGGGGACGAGAATGGTGGTGCGTTTCACTTTCACGACATAGGTATATATACTCCATCTATATGGGAAAAAGAAAGTTATATGTATACAATGAAAATATTTTATCTTGGGACCAATAGAAATTTTTATTTGCTGGTTCTGCCATCGAGCAAGAAATCTCGACGAATAAGTCAATCCATGAAAATTTACACAAAAATAAAATTTCACTTCATCGATTCCGTCATCGGGATTAAAAAAAAACTCGACAAATAAGTCGACGAAATACAGGAATAAATTCATCTTCGTCTGACTTCGACTCTGTCACCGAGATAAAAAAATATTGACGATCAAGTCCACAGAGGAATTAATTTACTTTCTAATTTGGTATACGTTTCTGTTTATGGGAGGACCGTACGCCCTTCTATTCAATTCCAGAAAAAGAAACAAAAAAAAAAGAAAAGAAATTGATAAAATATTGATTTTGATATTCGCAGTTCTGTATGCGGTAAATAATGCTTTGTCCAGATGGGCTGGTTTATGCAGGAGAGGAAATGGACATCTGAACCACATGTACAAGATGCCAGATGGGAGAAGAAACAGTGAGACATTATTTGTAGATCGTGAAGTATCTCAGAGAATATGGGGCGTTGTTGTTCATTGGGCTTTAACTTTGATCAGGGAGATGAGGTAAATTTATTTGCTTCTTGGTTGAATGACCGATCTTGACAGCCCTGTATATTGAATGTGTTCAACTGTCTATGTTTATTTGTTGCGATATTTTTTGGTTAGATAGAAATGACGGTCTTTGGGATGAGAAAACGTTTTCCCCGTGGGAGTTCAAGGACGACCTAACTTGGTACGATTTTCGTAATTTAATGCATTTGGTGAACAAAGGGGAAATGAAAGATGCTGTTGGTTGGGGGGTTGTGTGTAATTGACCAACATGGTAAATGCCTTCATTATGGTCATGGTTCCTTTTTTTTGTACATCAACTGTTGCAATCAGAATTGCCATTATCCTTGCAATGGTTAGGAGATGATATCTGTAATCTTTAGAGATAAATTTAGCTAATGTAAGTTTGAAAAGTAGATAGGATCATTGTGGAAGATGTCCACAGGCTAGCTAGGACTACTTGGGTAATACTGAATATCTCAATTCAGAAATAAGATCGGACGTTATTCTGATTCGTCTTCATTTTCGTGAAACCATTCCTTAAGCAAGGCAGCCGATAAGTCATCGAAGGGTTTGTGTAAATAATGGAATGGTAAGCATTACTCATTTTAAAGTTTTCCACGGTGATAAAATATCTTTTCAAGAAAATGATGCATACGGTGAAGAAATAAAAAGATTTTTTTATATTGAAATATCTATTGGAAAAATAATAGTCAATCACCCGATAGGAACATGGAGAAGAACCAAAACA